CTCTCTCTCTCTCTCTCTCTCTCTCTCTCTCTCTCTCTCTCTCTCTCTCTCTCTCTCTCTCTCTCTCTCTCTCTTGCGCGCGCGCGCGCACGCGCCATCCATCCACACCTCTCGCTGTGTGCATCTGTGCGCAACTGCACGCCCGACACGCTCGCCCTTATTCACATTGGAAAAAAAATGTGGCGCTAAGCCTTAATGCAAATTGAGAAAGCTAAGAAAAACGAAATGCACTCTCTATATCATTCCCAGATAAGGTAGCACGAAGGGAGGGAGGACAGAGGGCCGAGGAAGGTAACGCCACCTGAGGAAGGAGCGCAAAAGCGACGGAGGGAAGAAGGAAGGAGAAAGGGAGGAAGAAGGGAGGGCCGATGATGAGCACCAAAAGCACGTCTGGATGGATTCACGATGAGCACGCATCCACGGTGAGCACGCATCCACGGTGACCACGTCTCGATGAGCATGAAAATCACGAATCAATGATGAGCACGTCTGGATGGAGTCACGATGAGCACCGAGCATGAAAAGCACGCATCCACGGTGATCACCGGTGGATGGATTCACGATGAGCACGTCAGGATGAATTCACGATGAGCACGCATCCACGGCCATCACCGAGCATGAAAAGCACGGATCGATGATGAGTACAAAAAGCACGTATCAATGATGAGCACGAAAAGCACGGATCAATGATGAGCATGAAAAGCACGTATCAACGATGAGCACTAAAAGCACGGATCAATGATGAGCATGAAAAGCACRGATCSCCGATGAGCATGAAAAGCACGTATCMACGATSGCACGAAAAGCACGGATCGACGATGAGCATGAAAAGCACRTAKCCACGATGGCACGAAAAGCACGGATCGACGATGAGCATGAAAAGCACGTATCCACGATGAGCACCGAGCACGATGAGCACCGACCACCAAAAGCATGGATCGAAGATGAGCACGTTATCATGCACCACAATTCCCGCACAAATCCACGATGATGAGCACGAAAAGCACGGATCCACGGTCAGCACGTGACCAATCCACGATGAGCAGGTGACGAAAAGCACGATCCACGATGAGCACGTGGTCGTGCTCTCTCTCTCTCTCTCTCTCTCTCTCTCTCTCTCTCTCTCTCTCTCTCTCTCTCTCTCTCTCTCTCTCTCTGTGTCTCTCTCTTTGTGCCCCCTGTGCTCTGCTGTCGGCAAGCAACCGCCCTCCGTGACACTGACAAGCCGCCCTCTCTCTCTCTCTCTCTCTCTCTCTCTCTCTCTCTCTCTCTCTCTCTCTCTCTCTCTCTCTCTCTCTCTGTCTCTGTCTCTGTGTGTCTGTGCGCGAAGATGCTTCTGGCAGCCAAGAAACTGGAAGCCAGTTCAAGCCACTCACCAAGGCCTCGCTGCTACGGCGGTCACGGAGACAGAAAAGACAGAAAAGGGTTGTATCTTTCCATGTTCTAGCAGAAGATTCATTCTCATTTTCCACATTTGCTGAAGAGTGGTGTGAGGCCCCAAGTAGGGGAAAGAAATGAATCTCC